CTTCGGCTTCACCTACTCCTCGCCACAGTCCACTCCTCTGCCTACCGGTCACTCGCTCTCAGCTCCACCTTCGGACGAGTCCGTAGAGCCGAGTGGCCCGTATCCAGAGCTTGTGGGCTGCCTCATGTACCTGATGACTTGCACACGACCTGACCTCGGATACCCTCTCAGCCTTCTGGCTCGCTACGTGGCTCCCGGCAGGCACCGAAAGGTGCACTGGGATGCTGCGAAGAGGGTGTTGCGATACTTGTGCAGTACATCGGGCATGGGGCTCGTGCTTGGACGACGGGCTCGAGTTGTCCTCACTGGTCACGCTGACGCCTCCTGGGTTGACGACTTGGCTACGCAGCGGTCGTCACAGGGTTACACCTTCAGCCTTGGCTCCGGTTGTGTCTCCTGGCGGTCTACCCGCTCTTCTTCTGTTCTCAGCTCCAGTTGTGAGGCTGAGATCTACGCTGGGGCCATGGCTGCACAGGAGCTTCGCTGGCTCACCTACCTGCTGACCGACTTGGGAGAGGTGCCTCGTTCTCCTCCAGTTCTGTACGTCGACAACAAGGCCATGCTGGCCTTGTGTCAGGAGCACAGACTGGAGCACAGAACGAAGCACATTGCTCTGCGCTACTTCTTTGCTCGAGAGTTGCAGCAGCGTGGCCAGCTTCGTCTTGCTTACGTGGCCTCTCAGGCCAACACTGCTGATGTCTTCACCAAGGCACTTCAGCCTTGTGATCATCAGCGTTTCTGTACTGTGTTAGGCCTTGTACCTACTGTGCCTCACTTGTTGACTTCTTGACTCTGCTTGTACTGTACTCTATATACTTATACCTGCATGCTTACACTTGCTAGGTTGTGTTCAGTGTATTGTTTGCTTTCCTTTATATAACTCTGCATGTGGACAGGTAAAGCATGTTCCGCGGACTCGTTGGAGTTCTCTGCCGTCGGGTAGAAGAAGTGAATCCTTGTCGAGCACTGCTGCCTTGATTGTATTGTTTAACGTGGTGTTACTTGGATGACCCAGTCGTTCGTGCCACAGGGATTCGCTCGCTCGATGTCCGGGTGAGCGCCTGTACAGGTCGGAGTTGGAGTAAAAACCGCGGTGAAGTTGGCGCTTCTGTGAACTTCACGTGGAGTGGGAGCTAACTGCTGCGCAGGAGTCGGTGGAGTGTCGTCGATGAAGATTGGTGACGTCGAAGAGCTCGCGATTGGTGCTGTAAGTGTTGCTCTTGTTGTCGATGTTGTTTCTGCTGCTGTCGATGTTGTTTCTTCTTGCCGGATTGTTGCTAATGCCCGTGTTCTTTCTGCTTCAGGTATGGTATGTGAATACCAGAATCCTCCAGGGCTGAAGTCGGGATCGAGGTCCGGAGGATGTGTCCAGGAAGCGAAGTTGACGATGGCGTCGCTGTCGGCGGTTCCTTGATCTGGTACAAAGTCGAGAACGAAGACGTTGTTCTTCAAGATTGCTCTGCCGATGTAGAGTCCTCCTTTACCGTGAAATAACTTAAACTCCTGAGTGGTGCTTTCCGCTTCAAAATGAATACCCTTCGCCATCAGTTGGCTGACGCTCAGTAAGTTGTAGACGAGTCCTTCTGCAATCAAAACTTTGGACATTTGTATGATGACATTAGTTTCTCGAGACTGAAGTTGTACTATCCCTTGTCGTCGTGTGTGCAGGTTCTGGTTGTTGGCCACGGTGATGACAACTTCGCGTTGAAGTTGATGTTCTTGTTGAACAAAGCGACTTGAGGAACACATATGCTGTCCGCAGCAACTGTCCAAGAACCAAGTGTCTTGACCGGACGGCTCGCTCTGGGCGATGGCTACATATGTCGGGTTGGGCTCCAGTGATTCGCGGCGAGGAGTCCTTTCATTGAGCTGTTCTTCTGGTGAGTAGTGGGGTGGTGATCCGGTGATGCAGGAGTCCGCTGTTTTTGTCATGCAGCTCACGATGTTTCTTGTTCCTTGTGCAGGTTTTGTCGTTGAAGATGTTGAAGACTGCACTTGACTGATGGGATGTGCTTGTGTAGAGGCTACTTGACTGCTTGAAGGCCGAAGTTGTCGTTGTAGCGTTGTCGACTGCTCTTGATTCGGGCAGTGTGTGCGAGGATGTCCAGACGTCTTGCAAAGGTGACAAAACGGTGGGACATACTGTTGTACTTGTCGGTTATTATGTCGGTTGTTGTTGTTGTTGTAGCGTCGTTGAGTGTGGAAGGCGAAATCTGGTACTGACGCTTTCTTCTTGTGTCGTTCTTCGTGCAGGTCCATATCCTGCTGTTCAGCGTGAATTTCGGCGCAAAGTTCTGCTTCGGAGATCTTCCCGTGAGCTTGAAGGAGTGGAGCGCCAGTGAGGACCAAGGCCAGCGATGATGACTGTTGCAAAAGCTTCTTCGGATATTGATCCTCCGCATCGAAGGAGTCTGTCGCGCAGTCCGCGACAACGGCTAATATAAGCCATTCCCTTTTCGCCAGGTTTCATTTCCATTGTTGTCAGTTGTGCCATGAGACGACTCTGGTTAACATTGTCTGTTGCTTGATACAGGCTCTTCAGGTGGTCGTACGCCAGCTCGGCGGAGTTGCCGTATCCTCGATAAGACCGAATGTTCTGCTGCTCGTTTGGCTTTAAGTTTCAAAGGAGTATCGTGTACGCCATCAGTGACTGATATGTGTACTGTTGCTTGTCGTACTGTGTCCCATGTACTGGATATGGCAGGGACCCATCGAAGAATCCGAGAATTTGCGCGCCCTCCATCATCAGCTCAAATTCGAATGACCAGGTATAAAAATCCTTCCCGTCGAAGAGTGTTAACGTTTGCAATTTTAGAACGTGTGCGAATTGCAAATGCACCTGTAGCGCGTCCAGCGTCCTTTCTTGTCCGGGTGAAGCCTGTGGTTGCGGTGCGAAACTCATAGAGCCGCGTTGAGGCTCGTACGGGGCAAAGGTGGGTTGTTGCTGATTTCCGCGCGCGTAGGATGAACCGTCAAGACTCATTGGAGCTGCTTGCTGGTGTTGCTCGTAGAAGGACATGAAGGAGATTTTTTTTTCCATCATACTTGGGTCGAATCTTGCTGCTTGGTTTCCGGGAGTTTCTGTTGACTCCGCAGCTGGTCTTGTAGCTGTGCCTTCTTCTGTCTGTAGGCCAGAAGCTGGAGGTGGAGTAGGAGTAGTACCGAGAGATCCGTTGGAGGAGCTTCTCTCCTTTCGTGTTGCCATGTCTTGCGTTGTTGTAGGTTATTTAAAAGGAGATGATCTTGCCCTGCCTCCTCTCATACCATGTTGGGATGAGAGAAGCCCTTGGGATCTTTCAAGGCTAAGATCAAGTGTTGAAATAGAGATGTTGTAATTGCGGAAGCGTTTAGTAAGAGTTGCTAGAACCACCTTGTACTGGTGTGTGAGAACAAGATAAGTTGAATTAATAGCAGGGAGATACAAGCCTTTTATATGATTACCAAGGAATATGAAAGGTTCTACTTTTAACTGTTTTTGCTGTTGCGGTTCGATACAGCGCCGACTCGGGTAACTGCTCAGTAGTGAGTCAGTTATGTGTCCTTGCTGTCGCACTGTACTTTTCGTCAGGGCAAGAGTCAGCGACCTTTGACCAGGGCTGATTTTATCAGGGTAATTACCCTGATTTCAGGGTGATTTCAGGCTTTCCACTTCGTGGAGACTGAAATTTCAGAGTTATTGAATTTCCAGCCCTTATACAATCAGAGTAATAGTTTAGCTATCCCTGATTTTGAGTACAGTGTAACAGACTAGGCTGTTAGTGGACCCTGACTTAACAGAGTATCGACTGTGTGGACCCTGACTTATCGAGAGAAAGTTTCTCGGAAGTTTCCTTCCGATGACCCCGCCTTGGATTGATCGCAGTGATCCCCCCGCATGTGCGTAATCCCCCCCCTTCCCGCTTTATCGAGACGAAGTTTCTTCGAAACTTCGTTCTGATACACCTACCATCGAGATCGGGTGAATGTGCAATGTCAGATATACTTTGCCGGGATTGGTCGAAATAGGCTCTGACAGCGGAAATCTGTGACTCGAACAGGTCAATCACACCCGCCCTGCAAAAATCAGTCGAGTGTACAGCCAGCAGGAAACACAGCGCGCAGACTTTATGGAGAGTGGGGATATTTTCCCCGGTAACAAAGCGCGCGTTACTACTCTGATGTTCAGTTCTCGACCCTGAACAATCAGTGTTAACTACTTTACAACCCTGAGCAATCAGGGTACCGGTACTGCTTTTCTGGAAAATGTGCACCCATAATAGAGGGGGAAAATTTTCCCCGGAATCAGGGAGGCTTAAAATGAAACGTCAGCCCTGCCTTTGACTTTCGAGTAACCTCCAGCGGTTGCTTTTGTTGACTCGGGTATTTCTTCGCTGTAGTCTGCTCCGATTCGTGTTAACACTTCGATACTTTAGAAGCGTTTAAGTTTGCTTGTTTCCAACACATCCTACATGTACCGAAAGTCAGGCGGGCAGTTGTCAGGAGCAGTGCATGAACATTGGGCGGTCCACCTGGGTGGCATGGTACTCATGAGTCATGACATGCCAGACTGCTCGCCCCATGCACAACGACACTCGTGCCTGCTTGTCCTCGTCCACGGGCGGTACCGTATGTGCTGCCTGCCAACATGCTTCGTGCACACAACGCTACCCCCTGCCTCTTTCTTGTGCTTCACGTGAGTGGTTGCAGTGTGTTACATGTTAGAAATAGGCTGTCAACACTTTGTGTACTATATTCTATATCTTGTAGGTTATTTGTAGGTTGGGTGTAGATTGTAATCCCAACCCTATCTGGTTGGGATTCCTTCGTAATCCAGCAAATCTACCAACTCACCATTGGAGATTTGCTAGGATTGCCATCCCATCCTTTGCTTTGCTCAACCCAACCTTGATTGTACTTAAGGCCTAGTGCCTTCTCTACTAATCAATCAGTGCAGCTCCAATTCTATCATTGCATGTCCGTGCGGTGGCCAATGGCAGTGCTGATGGGCGCTGTGGATGGTGTCAAAGTGTTCTTGCAGTCAGCTCAGCCATTCGGGTGAGCAGACGCGGTGGCATCTGCATTCCAACAATGCGGCCAACCAGGGAGAGCCAGCTCAGCATGTAGAGCTCGAGCGCCAGGGAGTGATGATGCGATGCTGCAGTGGTGGTGGGGACAGGTGCACCGACCGCTGCTCGCCTTGCGCTCGCCTCACTGGTAGCCCCATCTGCAGCAATTCCAGCAGCACTCGCAGCACTAGCATCAGCAGCAGCACTAGCAACGTGCAGCAGGAGTGCCATGGTGGAGGGAGTGTTGCAGGGGTGAAGAGCCACGCAGGGCCGACCCAGGAAGGGATGCTCCTGGTGGCATGGGGAGGGCGGCATGGGGAGGGCGGCACAGGGAGGGCAGCACAGGGAGGGCAGCGCACTACACAGTGCATTGTGCATCGGAAGCGCAGTGAGGGCGATCGCACGGCAGCTTAAAGCCTTACACACATGCAAGGAGCAATGCAGTGCGTTCAAGGATGAAGCGTGAACTAGTGAGGAAAGGCCAAGGGAAAGGAAGCATGCGGTGGCAGTGAGAGGCCATGCAATGCATCTCGGGGCACCACTAGCCATGGGCAGTGGTGGGGGCATGGACGATGGAGCGTTAGGGAGCAGGGCGTACCAGGGGTGTGAGCAGGTGCCAGGTGTCCAGAGAAGTGTCATGCGCAGTGGGTGGAAGAGGGGTGGATGAAGGGGGTGAGGGAGGAGCAGCAGGATGGGGGAGAGTGGAGGCAGTGGAGGGGAGGGGTGAGGGCAGCAAGGGGTGGTCGGGGAGGCGAGGCAGGAAGGCGAACAGGTCCTGCCAGGGCAGGGGCCGGCCGTCTGTGGGCGCAGGGGAGGTGAGGGGAGGGGAGGGTGATGGTGGGTGGAGGGTTGGGGGATGGGAAGGGATGAGTGTGATGATGCGGTGTGCACAGGGAGATGAAGCGATAGCGGCAGAGCACAGCAGCGGGGCATGTGGCGGAGGGTTGGCTAGAGTAGAGGCGCGTTGGCGATGAGGGCACGGTCCATTTGCTTGCATCTGTTGCGCCCATGGTGGAGTGGTGCAGTGACGGCGGAGTATGGCAGTGGCATGACATGGCATGGCATGGCTTTTCATGGTATGACATGGCTTTGCATGGTATGGCATGGCCCGGCACGGCACGGTATGGTATGGCATGGCTTCGCACAGTATTGCATGGCATGGGTGCGCACACACCTGGGCGGCATGGCAGGAGCAGAAGTTGCGGCACGGAGAAGACAGCATCGAACACGACATGACAATGCAGCAGTGCCAGCGTGTCACTTGCTTCCACGTCCCAGGGTTGCTGCTCACTCCTCGTCCCACCTGCTGCATCGCCACCCCTCCACCCACCAGGTGCCTCTCCGCTTGTCCCCCCTGAGTGCTGCACTGCCTGTGCTGCTGCTGACATGGGTACATGCAGCTGTGACTGTGACGATGCTGCTGCTGCACCTGCTGCCAGCACTGCCGTGTGATGGGCATGCAGGCAGCAGCGCAGAGTGGCAGGGTCGTGCGCCTCCTCGCCACTCAAGTCAACTGCATCGCCCCAGTCAACGGGGTCAACGGGGTCAACCGGGTGAGTGAGAGGAACAAGTGGCTGGTGCCAGTGAGCAGCGCACACAGCAGGCAGCGTGTCGTGGCTTCTCACTTCCTCCTTGCACCGCCCATCGCAGCAGCACCCCTGCTGCTGGCTGTGCTGCTGGCTGTGGTGGGGGGGAGTGTGTGTGCGGTGCAGCAGCAGCGGGTGGAGGGTGGTGAGGTAGCCGCCTAGCACAGGGCGGTGGGAGGGAGGGAGAGAGGGAGGGAGGTTGAGACGAGAGGGTGAGGCGGGGAGAAACGATGGCAGTGAAGCGTGAGAGAGGATGAATGGAGGAGGGACGCGCGGGTGGCAAGACGGGCGTGGAGTGGGGAGGAGTGGCAGAGGGGCGCGTGACTACGAGGGAGTGGGAGAGGCGGTTGGGGAGGGAGCCGGAGCGGGCAGGGAGGGCTGGGAGGTGAGCGGATGATGAGCAGTGGGGTGCCGGGAGAGAGTGCGAGAGACAGGGAGTGGAGGTGGAGGGGGGAGGGGGGAAAAGGGTAGTAGGTGCGAGCGTCCACGTCGCCCCACCCTCTCGCCCACTCGCCGTGTGCTCACCTCCCACTGCCAGCGACGACGCCTGTGCCGCAACCCACTGCCACTTCACGCCCTCCGCGCGCCTCTCGCCCTCCGCGCGCCTCTCGCCCTCCGCGCGCCCCTCACAACGAGCGCCCTCCACTCCCTGCCGTTCCCCTACCGCGTCTGCCGCAGAACCAGCCCCCGCACTTTGCGCCGCTGCCCCCGCTGCTTCTGCGCTCCCCGCTCGTCCACTCCGCCGCGCGTCTGCCGTCACGGAGAAGCTGCGAGGCGGCTCACCCATCGACTGCGCGAATTCCGCTGCGTTACACGCTGCTGCGAGTCTGGCTGCGGCGAGCGGGAAATCGGCGGCGCTGATTCGCCCTGCGTGGAGCGCTGCGGCCATGCCACTGACGTGTCAGCGACCACTACGTGCCGGGCTACGCGAGGTGACTATTGGATCGACTCAAACAGTCACGTATATGCACGATGCGATTCGAAAACTCGTGGCTGCGTGCGCCACCGTCAATGAGGCGGATCACTAAACCAACGTCGCGCCTCGGGGATACATCGTGGGATGACCCCACGTCGCCGACGGGATGAGAGGGAGGGGTCGCGATGACGCGAATGAAGGCGGCTGCGCTAGCAACCCCAACTCCACACGCGGAAGCCGACGCTGCATCAACGGGCTCGACCCGAAAGACGCCGCCAAGGCAGTCTGCTTTCGCTCTAGTTTCTGGCAGCAGAAAGCTCGACCAAGTGCGCGGTGAAGGCTTCGCATGAGCAGATTAGGGTTGCACATTTGAAAGGCAGAGTTGAGGCGCTCATCATTCGCGCGTCTCCTCCACCACACTAGCGAGGTGACCTCCTCCTCGCCGCTGCGTGGGAGGCGTCGGGTGCAGTGCGAGCGCGTGCGCTGTCAGCTCAACTAGTTGACGGCCGCACCACGGTGCGTGGGAGGCGTCGGGAGCGCGTGCGTCCCGTCCGTTGAGGCTAGCCGTATGGGGAGTCCGCGTACCACGCTCCACTGGTAGACAGAGATTCCTGCAGGCGCCGCACCGAGGCGCGTCGTCAAGGTGTATCACAGACGTTGAGAGCATCGCGCGTTCGTTCCCTGACTGCGCCACCTCGCGCGCAGCCGCGCTGCAACGCTCAGGAATGGGGATGAGCGGCGGGGTAGGGACGGGGTGCAGGGGAGTGGTGCAACTGGGATGAACGGGAGGAGCGACGGCGAGGGCGTGGGGGAGAGGAGCGCGGAGGAGGTGCGGGTCGCGGTGGAGGCGCTGTGGTGCCACTCGCAGCTCTTCTCCGCCCTGTGCGCCCCTACCTCGCGCGCCCTCCGCCCTGCTCCCCGCTCCCTGCTCCCCGCTCCCCGCAACCCTCACCGGAACCTCCGTGCAACCACCCCCTCCTCTCACAAACCACACACTCACTGTCACAATATCACTCCCACTTACGCACCTATCGCTCACCCTTTCACTCCCATTGCTGTAATGTTCTTGACTCAAATGCTTGTCCCCATCCACTCCCCTTACCCCCCACCAGCCTCCTCGAGCAGCAGAGCTTGCCAGCAGCAGCGCCAGCAGCAGCGCCAGCAGCAGCGCCGGCGGGAGCAGGCGCAGAGCAGGCGAGCACTCGTGCTGCAGCAGCACCATGGGCACCACTCCCCACTGCCGGGCCGCCACCCAAACCCACCGCGCCAGCCACAGCAGCAGAAGCAGCGGCGGCGGCGGAAGCAGCTGAAACGGCAGCAGCAGCGAGGGCAGAAGCGGAGGCAGTGTGGGCGCGGGCAGGCGAGCAGGTGGGCAGCGAGGTGTAACGACTCATGGCGCCCCTCTCTCGCCTGCTGCTCGCCCTGCAGCAAGGGGGTAGTGGGGGGACCTTCGGAACCGGGGGGGCTGGGGGGACTGGGGGAACGCACGTGGACGAGGAGTTGGGGGGAGAGGGGTGCGACGGACAAGAGGGAGAAAGGGACGGAGTGTGCGTGAGAGGAGGAAGTGAGGAGGGTGGGGAGGAGGGGGCAGGGGAGGGAGGAGGGGGGTGGGTGGAGCGAGTGGAGGCACTGCGATTGGTGAGGGCGCGGGGCAGGGCGGTGAGGAAGAAGCGGTGGCGGGCGAGGAGGCGAGCAGAGCAGGCAGTGGCATGGCAGCAGGTGAGGCGCAGAACACGAAAAAGCTTCGTTTCTTCCCCCCATCCCCGCCTCCCCACTCACTCCTGTCCTATCCTACCCACGCCATACCCCCGCTTCTTCCACCACCCTCTGCCCCTCTCTCTCTCATCTCACCAGTGGCCCCTGGGCATGGGTGGGAAGCAGGCAGAGGCAATAAAGAGAAGGAGTCCAGCTTCTCTCCCCGCTCCCCACTTTCTTCTCTGCTGCACTCCTCACTACTTCCTTCCTACCCTAACCCCCCTCCCTACAGTTCGCACTCTTCCAACACCCCCTTCCCCCTTCCCTCCTGCTCCCCTCTCTAACGTGTGGCTCCTATGTGGGCGTGTGGGCGTGTGGAGTGCCGTGGGTGGGGCAGAGGGAGGAGGAGCAGCGGGTGGTGGAGGCGAGGATAGACGCGTGGCGGGCGCAAGTGATGGAGAGAGATGCGCAGGAGAGTGTGGTGAGTTTTGTGCGGTGAGTGGCATGCGGTGAGTGGCATGCGGTGAGTGGCATGCGGTGAGTGGCATGCGGTGAGTGGCGCATGGTGAGTGCTAACCGTGTGCATGCACGCACAGCACAGGCATGGGGGACAAGTCGTTTGAGCCTGAGTAATCCACACTTGCTCTCTAGGCATGCTTCTCACCCACTGCTGCACGTCTTGTTGACAGGAGACAAATGGGGTACGGAGGCGTCACTTCCATCGACTTAGTTGGTATGTGAGTTCAGGACAACGAAACGAACCCCATGATTGAGATGGCAATGTGAGCCTGGTGAAGCTTGAACTGGAACCAATGCTTTTTGTCGTTTTCACATGGCCAGCTTGAATCAGAGACTGCATGATCCCCCTCTGCTGCTCTCCCCTCTGCTGCTCTCCCCTCTGCTGCTCTCCCCTCTGCTGCTCTCCCCTCTGCTGCTCTCCCCTCTGCTGATGTCTCCAGTTGTCACACAATCAGCTTTGCGCTCCCCACCACCCTGCTGCTATCTTCTCTCCATGCCACTGTCCCTCTCCTCCCTCCACGCCCTGCTGGCTGCTGCTGGCGTGCCTGCCAGACCGGGATCATGCTTTTTGTCGTCTTCAGATGGCCAGCTTGAATCAGAGACCTTGGGACTGCATCTCCCTGGCCTCTTCCGCTGCCTGCTGCTGGCGTGCCTGCCAGACCGGGAGAAGAGGGAGCGGGCTCAGCTGCAGAAGCAGGTGCAGTGCGGTGAAAGCAGATACGGTGTGGTGGAGCTGTGAATGGTGTATGCCGTGTGGGATGACGATGGTGTGTGGTGGACGGAGATGGGTGGCGTGTCTTTGTTGTTGGGTGACGCTGACGCCTGTTGGGGAGTAATGCAGATGTGCAGTGCAAGTGATCATTACCTGTGGTGCATGTGCGCGTGCAGTGCAGTGCGCAGGTGCAGGTATAGAGCACTGCATTTGACGCAGTGCTCCCAACTCTGCTCAAACATACCGGAGCAACACAGCAGAAAGAGCGGGGAAGGAATGCAAGTGCAGGGGCCTGGGCGTACGGCTCTGCTACTTTCACCTGCCCGCATATTGGTTGCTGTGCGCATATTGGCTGCTGGGCGTTTATTGGATGCTCTAACCCCTCCTTCCCTCCTCCCCCTTTCCCGCCTCCCTCCTCCTTCCTCCCCCCTCCCTTCCCCTTTACATCCCCCCTCCCTTCCCCTTTATTTCCCCCTCTCTTCCTCCCCTTTCCCTCTCCCGCCCTCTGTGCACCGAGTGCTTTACCGGCAGGTGGATGCACTCATGCTGCTGGCACGCCTGAGAGATTTGCGGCGCCTGCGCGTGCTGCACGCTCCCTCCTCTCTCCCTCCATCTATGCTCCTGTCCCCGTGCCCCTTTACCCCGTGCACCGAGCACCCTACCGGCAGGTGGATGCACTCATGCTGGTGGCACGCCTGAGAGATTTGCGGCGTCTGCGCGTGCTGCACGCTCGCAGAAACGGTGAGTGCGAAAGATCACGGTGAGTGCGCTCGGCTTTCGAGTTTACGGTGAGGCGAAAGATCAGGCAAGGATCGGGTAAAGGATCGGGTAAAGGATCGGGTAAAGGATCGGGGAAAGGATCAGGGAAAGGGTCGGGGAAAGGATCGGGGAAAGGATCGGGGAAAGGATTGGGCCCTGTTACCAACACAGACACCCTTGAGGGCTTAAGATGTGGATTCCAGGGTTTTCTTAAGGCTGCCTGGATTGGTCCCTGTGTCCGGGCTGGACTGGGTGAATTGAACCCATGGATTTGTATCTCAAGATGTAGAGCTTTCCTTTGAAGGGCTTTTCCCGTTTTTCTTTCTCACTAGCATTGGCAAACGCCTGTTATGGTATTCCTGGCAGCCGGAACATGTTTGTTTTTGTGTTGTAATCTCTGCCTGGTCAAGAGCTCCGTTTTACCGAACTTCGCTCTGCTTCTCGAAAGAATTTCTCCTCCTCTGATGCTCACTGGAAGTTTCTCATATCAGTATGAGTGGTTGCCCTTTGCCAGTCCTTGTCGAGTCTCAAAGGCTGGTCCAGGGAGGGGAGGACTGCGGTGCTATTTGCCTGCACACAGAGAGAGACGGCGCCCTTCTGTTGCCCACTCTTTTCTCGCCCCCTTCACCCTTCCTTTGCATGTCCCCTACGCTCTTTGAAGTGTCCCCAAAATGCATGTCCGCTACGATCTTCCCCTTGGCCCTCCCCCGGCGTTCTCATGCCTTGCCCTGCGGTGTGTGGGAGCACCTTCTCAGGGCGGGTGGTGGAGGGCGAGGAGGAGGCGTTCATGCGCGCTGTGAGGGAGGCCGTGCAGGAGGAGGACCGGTGGCAGAACACGACGAGGGAAGGGGAGAAGCGGAGGAGTAAGAGGAAGGGAGGGGAGAGGCGGAGGAGGAGCAAGAGGAGGGAAGGGGAGAGGGAGAGGAGCAGGAGGAGGGGAGAAGGTGTGTGCATGAGGAAACGAGGTTCAGAGCAAGGGGAGAGGAAGCAAGAAGCCGTGAAAGTGGGAGTGCTGGGGATGGGGGAGATGGTGGGGAAGGGCAGGATGGTAGGGGCATGGAGGAGGCGCAGCAGGGGCAGAGGCACATGTGCGAGCGCGAGAGCAGGGAGAGGGGAGGGGGCTCTGCTGCCGCTCTCCACCTGCCTGTGCTGGGCTGTTCTGCCCTGCCCTGCTCAGCCCGCCCCACAAGCCCTCACCCACATCCGCCCCAATGCACTCTAGATGCTATCATCCGCCCCAATGCACTCTAGATGCTATCATCCCTCACGCCCCTCACGCCCCTCACGCCCCTCACGCCCCTCACGCCCCTCACGCCCCTTACGCCCCTCACGCCCTACACGCCCCTCACGCCCCTCACGCCCCTCAGCCCCACGCAGCAACCTCCTCCTCCATGCTTGAATGAAGGTCCGGCTTCTTCTACTGTTCCTGCTGCGCCCCCGGCTGCTACTGCTGCTGTGCCTCTCCCCGCACGTGCGCATGCTCCACGCTCGCACGTCCCAAGCACGCATGCCCCAACAACGCAGGTCACGGGCTCATCAGTGCCCTCATGCTGGCTGCCTGCACCACCGCCCTCCACCACCGAGTGGCAACGCTATCTCCTCGGGAATGACTGACGCTGACTCTGGTTGGGTTGGGTGTTAAGGGTTGTTTTCAGGATGGCATGCCATGCCATCATACGATAAAGGGATTTTTATAGTAATGGGCACGCCACGTGCCCCACAAGTCAAAAGTGGCATCAATTGATTTATAACAATCCTGCTGAAGTTATCGATAATAAAGTTATGTTACATCTCAGTAGATGGACATTATTCTGTAGACATGCTACCATATCACCCCAGATATAGGCGCAGGTGCGCTTATAATAAAACCTTGTTTTTTACGGGGGTGCGCTTATGAATGAGTAACGGGCATAAGCGCATGCGGTTGTAATAAGTAAAAATGAAATTGACTTTAAATTATACCAAATTGAAGCCCACTGTAAGGCGAATGCAGCTGACCATGCATCACATGGGGTCGTGCATGAATTTGAGGCGAAAACAGCAACGCGCCTCGGTTTCCCACCCCGCACTTTCGTCTAGAAGCATCGCACCTGCCAGCGATGACGCGAATCTTGCCGTGCGGCCCAATCACATCGCCCTGCGCTGCGTGGCATGCGAATTTCATCCGAACCCTCTCGTAGGGTGCGGAAGTTTCCCTGCCAGCGCAGCGATTATGCTGCCTCGCACAGTCCTCTGCGGGTTCATGCGGGGATTTCCCGCCCCTTTGTCGCCCGTCGCGGCCCCTACTGTCGACGCGGCCCCTGCTACTGTCGCGGCCCTAGCCAGTCGCGGCCCCTACTGCCTGTCGCGGCCCCTACTACCGTCGCGACCCTGCCTGCCGTCGCGGCCCCTACTGCCAACGCGGCCCCTACTGCTGTCGCGGCCCTGGCCCGTCACGGCCCCTGCTGCTGACGCGGCCCCTTGTTGGCGCGGCCCCTGCTGGCGAGGCCCCCTGCTGACGCGGCCCCTGCTGGCGCGCCCCCTACTGACGCGGCCCCCTGCCGTCGCCACCCCTACTGGCGCGGCCCCTGCTGTCACGGCCCGGCCCTGCTGACGCGGCCCCTGCTGACGCGGCCCCCTGCTGGCGCGGCCCCTTCTCACGCGGCCCCTGCTGGCGCGCCCCCTGCTGACGCGGCCCCACTGCTGATGCGGCCCCCTGCTGTAGCGGCCCCCCTGCCGTCGCCACCCCTACTGGCGCGGCCCCTGCTGTCACGGCCCGGCCCTGCTGACGCGGCCCCTGCTGAGGCGGCCCCCTGCTGGCGCGGCCCCTGCTGACGCGGCCCCTGCTGGCGCGCCCCCTGCTGACGCGGCCCCACTGCTGACGCGGCCCCCTGCTGTCGCGGCCCCCTGCCTTCGCCACCTCTACTGGCGCGGCCCCTGCTGTAACGGCCCGGCCCCTGCTGGCGCGGCCCTTGCTGACGCGCCCCCAGTTGTCACGGCCCAGCCCTGCACCCGCCCCTGGTAAGCACCCGCGCCGCCCTGCTCCGCCGCGCCGCCAGTTGCCGAGCCGCGCCGCCCAGCCGAGCCGCGCCGCCCAGTCGAGCCGCGCCGCCCACTGAGCCGCGCCGCTCTGCCGAACCACGCCGCCCTACTGAGCCGCACTGCCCTGCACTGCCCTACTGCCTCTGCTGCTACTGCTGCTAGTGCTGCTACTGCTGCTACTACTCCTACTGCTGCTATGGCTAGCCCCACTGTTCTCACCTTTGATGCTGAGGGGCGTGCAGTTGACTTTGACGTGTGGGTTGACGACCTGCAGCTCTTTCTTCAGTGTGACTCTAGGGATGGGGTTTCCCTTTTCGATCACACGTCCGGTGTCTCTATTGCTCCTGTTGCCACTGCTGACAGTATGGTTCGCTCGCAGTGGACCACTCGTGACGCTGTTGCTCGTCTTGCTGTTCGTAGTCACCTGCCGCCTGCTGAGCGCGCGCATTTTGGCCAGTACAAGACTGCTCAGTCTTTGTACGACGCTGTAGTTGCGCGCTACTCCTCCCCTGCCACTGCTGCCCTCAGCCGCCTCATGCTGCCGTACCTTTTCCCTGACCTTGCCGCCTTTGCCACAGTCGCTGACCTCACTGCTCACCTCCGCACTAGTGACGCCCACTACCGCGCTGCCCTTCCCACTGAGTTCTGTGCCAAGAACCCCCCCCCCATGTACATCACCCTTTACTACCTAGTCACCCGCCTCCCTGACTCCCTTTCTTCAGTCAGGGACCACTTTCTCTCCCTTTGCCCCACCGAGCTCACTGTCGACCTGCTAGAGGAGCGCCTAGCTGCAGCTGAGAAGAGTATCTTAGCTGTAGGTGCTTCTCGCGGCGACCGTCGCACCCCTTTCTTTGAGGGGTGTTCCCCTATCCCCCTTCTCCCCTCTGTTGCTTCTGCTGCTGCTGTCGACCTCGTTGGCACTGAGGAGGTCGGAGCTGCGTCTACCCCTAGTGGGAGACGCCGCAACAGCAAGGGCAAGGGAAGCAAGGGTGGTGGAGGGGACGGCGGGGGCAGCGGCGGAGGTGGTGGAGGCAGCGGCAGCGGTGGTGGAGGCAGCGGCAGCGGTGGCGGAGGTGGCGGTGGCGCTGGTGCTGGTCGGGGTGCAGCCGCGCAGCGTGGAGGCTTTGGTGGTAGCCAGCGCCAGCAGCAGCCGCATTCCCGTGAGACCCCGTCGGCCCAGCAGCTTCGTGAGTGGTACGCTGGGCGTGGGAGGTTTGGGGGTGCTGACCCACTGCACTTGCTCTCGGACGGGCCGCCACCTGGCCACGTTCACCCGTCGGCCTGGGTCGAGTCTCTACACACTGACTACTGCGCCCCCTCCAATCTCTGCGTCTGGTCAGGTATCCGCGTCTAGTCAGGTGTTTGCTGCCGCGTCCAGGTCTAGTCCTGCGTCTGCCCCCTGCTCGTGTCGTCCTCTGACGCACGAGACTCTCCTATGGCACCACTGCCTTGGTCACCCCTCCCTTCCTCGTCTTTGAGGCATGGCCTCCCGTACCCTTGTCTCAGGTCTCCCCGGGTGCCTTCCTCCCCTTCCTCCGGGGCCTGCCCCCACCTGTGTTCCTTGTGTCGAGGGCCGGCAGCGAGCCGCTCCTCACTCCTCCTCGTTCCCTCCGACCGAGGCTCCCCTGCAGACTCTTCACATGGACATGTGGGGCCCAGCCCGCGTCCGTGGACAGGGTCACGAGCGTTACTTCCTGCTGGTCGTCGACGACTACTTGCGTTACACCTCAGTCTTCCCCTTGTGCAGCAAGGGTGACGTCACTGAGGTGTTGATCGACTGGATCCGCGGTGCCCGTCGCCAGCTCAGCGAGAGTTTCGGCTCGGACCTTCCTCTTCTGCGTCTGCACTCAGACAGAGGTGGTGAGTTTTCCTCCGACCTCCTAAGGGCCTTCTGTCGTGCGGAGGGCATCCGCCAGACGTTCACGCTTCCGGCCTCCCCACAGCAAAATGGGATTGCTGAGCGCCGCATTGGCATGGTCATGGACGTCGCTCGTACGTCCATGATCCATGCGGCTGCTCCCCATTTTCTGTGGCCGTTCGCAGTTCAGTACGCTGTGCAACAGATCAATCTTCAGCCTCATGTCTCCTTGCCGGAGACCACACCTACTCTGAGCTGGACGGGGAAGGTTGGCGATGCGTCTGCGTTCCGTGTCTGGGGATCTCGAGCTTTTGTCCGCGATACTTCAACGGACAAGCTGTCCTCCCGTGCTGTTCCCTATGTCTTCCTTGGCTTCCCCCCTGACGCACCTGGGTGGCAGTTTTACCACCCCACCTCGCGTCATGTTCTGTCCTCTCAGGATGTCACGTTTCACGAGTCGGTGTCTTACTACCGTCTCTTTCCCTACCGAGCTGCCTCTCTCCCCCCCCCGCCACTCTTCCTAGCACCAGGTACTCCTCCGGTAGACCCCCTCCCCCCTCAGGGTCCTGCCCCCTCAGGTGTGTCTCAGGTAGACCCTGCTGAGCCGGTCGAGGTAGCTGTCGACTCAGGTGCTGCTAGGGGTGCTGAGCCTGTGGGTGCGAGGACTAGGGGTGCGGGGCCTTGGGGTACTGAGCCTGAGCGTGTGGAGCCTGGGGGTGCTGAGCCTGAGCGTGTGGGGCCTGGGGGTGCTGTGTCTGGGGGTGCTGAGTCCGGAGGTTCTCCGGGTGTCCCGTTGCGGCGGGAGCCCCTCTCTCCGCAGCGGCTTCGTGAGTGGTACGCTAGGCGCTGTTGCCGTGGTACTGGTGCTGCTGGTGCTGGAGCTGCTAGAGGTGCTGCTGGTGCTAGAGCTACTGGAGGTGCTGCTGGTGCTGGTATTGCTGGAGGTGCTGCTGGTGCTGGAGCTACTGGAGGTGTTGCAGGTGCTGGTGCTGCTGGAGGTACTGCTGGTGCTGGTGCTACTGGAGGTGCTGCTGGAGCCGTTGGTCCTGGAGGTGCTCGTACTGGAGATACTGGAGCTGCTGGGGCTGGTGGTACTGCAGGCGTTGGAGCTGCAGGTACTGAGGCTGGTGGTGCTGCGGGAGCTGTTCTTGGAGACCCTGGAGCTGAGGGTACTGGTGCTGTCTCTGCTGTTTCTGGAGGCGCTACGCGGCCGCGGCCGTACTACGTTCCGCTCCTTCAGCAGGTTCTTGGTCTACCGCCTTCTCCTGGTCCTCCTCCTCCTTTACTGAGTCCACAGCCTATTCAGTCACTGTCGCAGTTACAGCCGTCCTCTCAACTGCCTG